CCTCGTAAACGACCAGCTTTGAGCAATCTATATAACACTATATGTATCATTGACCCTGTTAATGACAACATGACAACAGGGTTGCCATATCTAAACTGTCATTACCCATTCGATAATGTATTGGAATAGATACGCCTTGTTTACATAAACAATTGTCGTATGATAATAAGGTCCACAATCGCATGCACAACAAACGGTGGTACCAGCAGATGTTGCCACAGTGTCACTTTCGGTTAAACGTATAAGGATAATAATTATTAGTTCCCAATGTTTCAAGGTTCGAAATACTTAATATGGAGCTTAATATTTAACAGTTCATTTAGGAATCTGGATCATATTCATAAAATTTCTCATTTAATTTTCTTCTGCATTGAATCGGTGTTTAAATTAGATGTTTTTAGATTTTGTTCACTACGATCCATCGGTTTAACCATTAAATACTATATTTTAACTGGACATTTGGCAACCCTGTTTCTGTATGTTTTTGTTTTTAAAAGTGTCATGTCATTCGGTGTTTTATTTTAGTGAAATATTCTTGTTTTATTTATTTATATGAAAGAAATTATTTACAAACGTAATTATACATTTCAAAATAGTAAAGAGATGCATAGTTTTCCGAACATTTTGGACCAAAAACACCCAAAACCTATTTTCACAGGTAGGTTATGTCAAAATCAATCTCATGAAATGTAAATAATGTAGATATCCATGGGCGTAACAACTGTGCTAGGGTTTTTTTGATTTCTTGATATAAAAATACCTAATTGTAGAAACTGGCTATTTTATGGTATATACGTTTACACGTTTCCGAGAGACATTGTCTAATGTCATTGTGGCTGAACAACTTAAAAATAAATGAGCAAGATCTCAAAACTGAAAGATGCCAAAGTTTGTTCAGATCACTTTTCACATGAAGATTTATTTAGCTATAATAAAATCGAACATTTTATTTGAAATCCAATGTTTTGCTAATAGAAAAAGTAAACAAGTGTCTTTATATACCTACTTTCGTATTGATATAGGTAAAAGGTAATTTATAAGTATTTATTGCAAACGTCTACTTAGACCTAGTTAAACAATTCGTTTCTGAAACTAAGTGTTATTGAGGTCTAAAATACTGTGAAAAATAGCTTAGAACTGTTGTCTCCCAGTTGTAGTTTAATAAACACAAAGTAAACTTTTTTGATTATACTAAACCCATTATTGAAAACTTATAAGTTTTTTTAGTACGTACTTCGTTGAGAGAAGTAGTATAGAAAATGTATATGTGGGAACGTATGATGATTATATTCGCTCATTGCGAAGTTATGGTAGGGGAAGCAAAAGCGATACTAGCGCAAACTGCAGATAATTCAACCACTTTAGGGCGATATTTTGTAATTTTGGCGTATCAAATACACGTATACATTTTACGTTTTTTTGCAAAAAAGAAGTAAGAACAATGTAATAAGCAACCATAGTTGGTGTGTAATAGAAGTAGAATCTCCCAAGGTATTTATTTATTTATTTTTATCTTCTAAAAAGTAAGTTTTCACTTCTTTTACAAAATTAAATTATTTTTAAATAAATAAATAAATAAAGATATATATAATAAAGATATTTTCTAATTTATTCTTTTTTTTTTTTAATTTATTCGGGTTCTGTGAATTATAAAAGGAAACATCAATTCACGTCCTGCACCAATGTGAAAGCCTAACTAGATTCAGATTTCTTATACTAGATGAAGAAAAGCCAGACACATGTAACTACATGCATGTGGATGCCACTGTCAAGGAAAATAAATCTAATAAAAAAGTCCAAGCTTAGATGACATACTCTAAAACAAACGGAATCCCATAATAGATCTGAAAAGGTCGCGGTGGACACAGACACATAATGTCAAACTCCTTTTAAATCTAATATCTAAGCTACCCTTATTTTTGACAGAAGCGTCGTGACATGCCACTCATATTTTGGTAAGCCTTTTTTGTACAATTAGCTATCGCATCATAATTTTTACGTAAAAGTCTTCAGTATTCTAAGAAATTCATGTATTCGTTTAATTGGGCATTTAGAAGCAAATTGATATGAAAATATTGTTAATTATTCGTACGTATAAGGAGCCTGTATAATAATTGCAAATGGTTACAACGTTGCCAACTGTCAGTTAAAATGTTGAATATTGCATAAAACCATGGAAGTGACTCTTCTTTCGAAATATCAGGATACAATTTCAAGACAAAATAATGAAAACAAACCCCCTTGGATTATGGAGGAACATAATAATGATCCCATATGCGCAGGGTACTGCCTAAATATAACCAATGGGTTTTGAATTGTAAACAATTTTACTGCAGGTAAATATACTAAATACTTATGGTATCTAATACCGACCAATTTAAAATGAGTTTTTTGCATGTAGTAATTATTAAGGTAGTTCACGCGCGACAGCCGTACACAAAAATATCGCCAATAGTTTGAGATTCTCAATGCTGAAAAATGTTATATTTGTAGGATACTGAACACAACACATGTAAGCTTATGTACGGATACGTTATTATTTCAAGTAAAATCCATCCGGCAACGTCACAAATATAGGAATGGTGCGATATCAAGTGTATAGGTACCTATAGAAATTTTGTGACTTCCTCATACTAATTTTAAGGTTTTGTTTTGGTTCAAACAGAAGCGTCGATTCCAGTTCTCAAATACAGTAGACAAATTAATTTTTCAAGAACACTTCACGAGGTTATAACAACCTCTTAGCTGATCGAGTGTAATTCAGTGATTCTGAACTAACAATGTTGCCAAGTTGTAATCATTGTACCCCACTACGCGTCGACTGCTTTAAACATATTTTTCTTTTAGAAATCTATCTTTTTACCAAAACGGTCAAAAAATTCAACGTTTTTTTAGAAAATTGTATAACTTTTTGATTTACATTACATTAGTTTTTAAAAAAATATAGTAAGAACCATTTTCGAAATATCTTCAAATAAATGCATTGCTTATGTACATGACAGGCTTCAAAACTGTTAATTATGCACAATTTCATTGTTAATATCTCGTTTCACAGACGGTCAAAAAATTTTTTTTACTTAGGTACGTAAAAGACATTTTTTTTAACCTTATATTTTAATTTTATTGAATTCCTAAGAAAAGTCGTCTTGCGCATGAACTACTTTAAATATTATTTTAAAAAAATGAAAATAAATCTTGAAGCTTATTTTTAATTATATACAATATGTACCTATTTATTGTAGGTTTTTATTTGTATTTACATTTTTAAAAAATAGCCATCTATCCAAATAAAACCATTTTAAATAAGGGATTCTTATTATAGGTATTTAAAAATATCAGAAAATGTCAATCGACGCTACCCATTTTAAATTAGTCACACCACTTCATGCATTGTCAGAATTGTTAAAATAAAGAACAAACGCAATGCCATTATTTCTTCTGTTCCCTCTAACTTGTGTACGGCAAAATTTTGCTACAGTACTTTGTAAATAATAAAGTTCATTAATCTCCGTAATTAGCGAGAGTATTATTATTATTATTATTTGTGTATAACTATTTTTGGTTGATAAATAAAATGCTTTAATTGGTCTTTATTTTATTTGATAAAGGAAGGTATGTAGTCAGAATATGTATATTCTTGCTTCACTTATAAAACGGGTTCTTCACAATATTTTTCTACTTTCTTTTCTCCTTCATCAATTAAGCTTTATAGTAGGTATATTTACTCAAAATGTATACAAATTGTTTGAAGTACACAATTAATAATCCTATAAAATTGAGTAAATAATATACAATATGACAAGCCTGTGCATGGTCTATGTAGTATCACAATACTGTGAAAAACTATTCTTACATTGAAAGTTAAAAATATACGCTATAAAACAATATTTTTAAAATCATGTCCATCCGCTTTTATCTAGCATTTTATAGTAATTATTAACAATATATAACCCCTTCCATACGGTACTGCACTGCTAAGTTCTCCGTTTGTATACCTTTCCTCTCTCCCCGTCTAGATAATCATTAAACCCATTACTTCCACAGGTAAGGCGTATCTATCCTAATACATGATCGAATCATTACCCACTGGTAGCCATTTGGACAGGTCGTTGGAATGCCTAATTAGGCATTCCAAACTGAATGACTACCAGTGGGTTTTGACAGGTTATAATGTGGCAAACACAGAACACTTGTGGCAAAGTTATGGCAACTCTGTAGGCCTGGTGATTTGACAAGGTGAGTGAAATAGATAGTTACATAGATTGCTGTGGATTGATCATCCCTATTTTTTAAAATAAACATAAGCTTATGCCTTGAAGTAAAAATATAAGCAATTATTATTTTTTAAATATCTAAAGTCTGAAAATTGGTTTTAAAACACATTTTTGCTAAACTGATTCAAATTAATAAATATTTGCCAGGCAATATGGCTGCTCGCAAACGACCAGCTTTGAGCAATGTATATAACATATATGTATCATTGACCCTGTTAATGACAATATGACAACAGGGTTGCCATATCTAAACTGTCAGTACCCACTGGTAGCCATTTGGACAGGTCGTTGGAATTAGGCATTCCAAACAAATGAATTACCAGTGGGCAGGTTTGGTATATCTAAGGGTGGCGACATATAGTGTATTCTATCTACTTTACGTAAAATCATGAATAATGGATTACATTTAAATATTTTATGTCAAACACAACAAAAATAATATTTAAAAAACCCACCTATACATTTCTTCATAAATTGGCAGGCTTGGCGAGTACTACTTCGAATAAAAATAGCGTCCAAGTTGCAAGACTATGTCGCTACCCCCTTAAATATACAAGAATTTCCCACTGGCACCTATTGTTTGACAGGTCGTTGGAATGCCTAATTGTTTTGTGATTATAACCTGTAAAATTCGAAATTAAATTTTTTAGAAAATTTACTTTACCTATATAGAAACCAGTTATTTAATTTCGCACCTCAGGATCCTTCGACGGGCCCGTTCGAACCATGAATAATTTAACAAAAACTGTTCATCAGTGTTGTGTCTGCCACAAAAGTTCCAGACACGAAAAAAGAACCCTTAGTTTTTTCCGGTTTCCAAAGGACGAAAAACGGTACATAAATAATTCGATTGTATTTGAAACTTTCACACTCAATAAAAATATATTTCCAGGTTTGCAGAGTGGAAAGCAGTTCTTCAGTTGGAAAAATTTGCTTCTTTCAGTGCCAAATACTGCTATGAGCACTTCAGGATTTGCAGTAATCATTTTGAGGATAAGATGTTTGCAGGCATGGGAAAAAATAGACTGAAAAAGGATGCAGTTCCTAAACAGTTGCCAAGACCAGATAGTAAAGCACTTTCTTGCATTATTTGTAACCCTAATGACTAATAATATTGAAAATTTTATCACTATTCAAAGAAACATATTTTCTCATTCTGGTTTAATTAAGCACTTGCTATATAAGTGATCCATTATCAATCTTTTGTTTTTAATTGATGTTTGTATATTTCTTGTAGGGAAATCTTTATTTTTGGAATCTGTTGGAGAGCCAGAACCAGTTGCTAGTACCTCACAAAAACACATCAGCACAGAATTTGAAAGTATGTATTGGCAATTTAATTTATCTAATACAATATTAAAGTATAATAATTTCATGTCTTCAATTTCGGAAAGAATCGTAATGTGTTTTCAGAATAGCTGCACATAAATTGGATCAAACAAAATGTCTCTTGGACTATTAATTAACAAAATATTATTTAAATTGAGCTTATCCTTAGGTATATTAATTTTAAAGTATATAATATATTTATATAGTAACATAATCTTAGTTTTTCTTTGTTAAAATAACAATAATGAAATAATACATGTTTATATTTTAATTTAGTGTTTTTTGTCAATTTGTGTGTAATGGTGCTTATAGTATATTTATTGAATAACAGATTTCATTCAACAAAAATCACTTCATTTAAAAATTTTAGGTGTATTTGTTATTTTACCTGAAAATTTGAAATTTTATTTGCAGAATACCTTACTGATTATCCTGGTATTTCAAATATAGTCCACGTTGATGTAACGAGAATAAAACAAGAAGACTGATAATCAAAAGGTATGTTTGGTATATATAACCACGTTATGTCTTTTCATTGTCTTCAAATTCTTTTCTTGGTGTAATAAAATTGAGTATTTTTAAGTTTAATAATGTAAGCTTTCTTTTCAGCAAGTCGACATCAAAGATATTATCTTGTGGTACACCAAGGAAGGATCAATTGAGAAAAACAATTAAAGGTCTTAAAAGAAAACTAAACACTTCCCAGAATTCTCAACTAGATTCGAATCAAACTTCTTGGGAAAGATAATTTCAATACATGGAGTGTACAGACACTAGTAGTTTTAATAAAAAATGGATTATGAGAATATGTAACGGGTGCAAAACCAAAACCAGATGGTGATGTTACAGCAATAGCAAAATATGACCAAGAAGACCTAATGGCACATTCAGAATTACTTTTACTTATGTCTCCGCCAGAATTAAAACAAGTTAAAAACTGTAAGACAGCTGAAAATGTTTGAAATGTGCTAAAATCAATGTATCAAAGTCAAGGACCTGCTAGAAAAGCAACTCTTTTTAAGCAACTAATTTTAAAAAGGATGACTGAAATTGTTCGAGAGCACCTGAATAAATTTTCTAGATATAGTTGATAAATTAAAAGATATATCAGTTGATATTATTCCCAAGTTACTCAGCATAATGATTATATATGTATAGTTTGCCATCAAATTTTGAAAATTTTCAAATTGCAATCAAAACGAGGAATGTTTTGCCAAAGCCACAAGATTTAATGATTAAAATCATAGAAGAGTTGGAAGCAAGAAAAAATAATCATAGTGACAATAGAGAAGAAGGTGCTTTTTATAGTAGAAACAGAAAATTTAAAAATAGGGCTCAAGGTTTTAGATTCAAATGTAATAAGTGCAAAAAGGGGCCATAAAGCAGCCGATTATTAACAATGTGAGTAGTGAAAATGGTGTATTAAAGTTGGCATCTGATACTCACACTGCAGATGTAAAGGGTGGGGGAATAATAAGTTTACTTTCAAAAAATGATAATTTTAAATTAAGAGAAACCTTATGCATACCTACAAATTTGTTGTCAGTTGGAAAAATCACAGACAATGACCATAATACTGTATTATTCACAAAGAACAAAACATTACTACAAGCAAAACGAGAAAATGGATTATATTAAGTAAAATTTAATAAAATTCAAGAAAACGCTAACAATATTCAAGAAAAGAATGATATATGGGTCATTCTCAGTTAAGCCGTAAATTCGACGTCCATAACAAAAAATCACCTTTTTTAAAAAATTTTATTAAAAAGAATGTTATTTTCTCTTAAAACTCGTGCTCATATAATTGGTCACTCAAATTCATTTCTTAATTTTATTTAATTTAGTCACAATTTCACCTCAAAGTCGGAAAACATCTCTCCCCTGGCTTGTCCCCGGGCCGATTCTGTTTATTTATTTGTAATTTTAAGTACTTGAAAATCAAATAACTTATTTAAATTATACATTTCAACAAAATAATTTAAATAAATTATCGTAATCAAGCAAGTAAAATTGCGTGATTTTTTTTTTCTTAAAAAAAATTACGTTTACGTTTGTCCCCCGTATTTTGCGTCTCGTCCCCTGGCACGCTTATTTTTGTGTAAAATCGGCATTTGTTTACTGACTTGCGGGAATTGAAGACCTTGAGCGAACGTTGTTGAGTGTATAGTTTGTAATCAGAGCCACTCGAACTAGGTGCGCAGTCATTTAGTCATTTATTTCGTTACTGGGGCCCAATTCCTGAAACTATGCGTTGAACGCCGCATTCGACTAGCGACGCATGGTCGCCACCGCATGCGACGCAAAATCTGTATTCTTGACTACCCTTCGTTAGGATAGTTTTGTGTCGCATGATGTAACGAAGAGTCTTTAATTATTGCAGTAGTTCAATCGTTTTAAACCAATAAAATTTCAGAACGTCATAACAAAACTGCATTATCGACTGAAAAATGTCAAAAAAAAAATTCTTTTGCGAGTGTCATTGTGTAATCTCTTTTATTATTAAACTAAATTCTTTGAAAAATTTGAGTAGTGTTTTGATAATGGAGATTGAAAATGAAAAGAAAAGCTTCAAAATTAGCGAGCAACAGAGAACAGCTTTAATAAATTTTATGAAAGATCACCCGAATTTAGTTAGTGGCAAATTTACAAATCATTTCACTGCTACAACAGCTAAAAATTTATGGAAAGAATGTGAAACCACACTAAATAGCATAATAGGGGGGAAAAAAGATTGGAAGCAGTGGAGGAAAGTAAGTATTTTTATATTTTTATCTATAATTTAACGATATATTGATTTTATTAACATTGTAGTGCTGGCATGATATCAAATCAAAAACAAAGTCTAAACATGCCAGATTAAGAACTCACCAAGGTGGAACTGGTGGCGGTCCCGCTACACCAGAAATATTATCTAATTGGGAAGAGAATATAATAGATATAATGTGCCCAACTGCTAGTACAGGGCACCCAGGAACTTTAGAGTCATCCATTGTTTTTGTAAGTATTTTATACAAATCACTAGTAAGAAGGTGATTAAGAGGATTATTATTTTTAATATTATTTATTATTGTTGTTAAGATAGAAAATACATGTTTCTTAAATTGTGATTTTTTATTTTCATGTAGGATCTTCCTCTTTTACAACATAATACTCCTGAGATATTAGAAAACAGTAATGCTCAAATGCAGGAAGTTTCTCAATATGAACTAGAAATTGAAACGAATATAACTAATCCTGTACAGATAGAGAATAGAACACTAAACAATATAAAAGGTAATATTGTAGAAAATACACTCTTAAGCTATTATTTATTTCAACAGTAATATTGAGCAATTAAAAGGCAACTAAAATTCGTCAATTTTAGTATCTTCTTGATTTAGATTAGTTTATAAATTTGTATAATTTTTTTTAGAAAAAAAAGTTACTCGGAAACAGCAACTTTCTCAATCAGTGGAAGCCACGAAAAATTTAACAGTCACGTCCAAAGAAAGAAACGAAATATTTAAAGAGTATTCACAAGAAAAATTAAATATTTTAAAGGAGACCAATAATTTAAGAAGAAGGAAATTGGAGGCTTTAGAAGAGCAAACTTCTTTAAAGATAAAAAAACTGGAGGCAACAAAAGAGCAGAACAAAATACTGCAAAATATAGCAACTTTGCTAAAAAATATTCTCGAAAAATAATAATGCATATATTAATAGTTGTGTGTTAAATTTTTGTTTATTTTTTAGTTTTAAAATTATTTTGTTTTTTATTTATTAGGTTTAATTTAGTTATATTGTTGTTAGTTGTTCCTGTAATTACATTAAAAGCAAAATACAATACATAGTAATATTAATTTATTTAAACAAAGTAGTTTTCAATTATTTTAATTATTCATACGCCTTCCAATTTTAATCTCTAAAATGTCCATTTATCACCAATGTTTGTTTCCTTCTTCCTGCTTCCAGATCTGGATTAATTCTTCTTTGGTTTCTAATACGTTGTCCTGGCTGTTCGTCAATAAAATTGTCGATACCAAAATCCACATTTTCCAGTTCCTCATCTAAATCTGGTTCTGGAATATTATGATTTATACACATATTGTGTAACACCACACATGCATTTATTATAAGTGATGCTTTGTCCGGGGTATAGTGCAATACCCTGTGCTTCAGTAAACATCTAAATCTCATTTTGAGTACACCATTACATCTTTCAATGATGCTTCTCGTTAATTTGTGGCAAGCATTATACCTGTATTCATTTGTGTTGGGAGGAGGTTCAACCTCTGTAGGGGTTAGAAGCCAAGCCCTGAGGTAATATCCTGAATCTCCTAAAAATAAATATAAAATTAATTAGATTATGAAGACATATCTAGAATTACCTAGAATTTTGAATTCTTCCTCATTCATGACGAAAACGAAAGACGAAAGAATGGAAGATGGCTGAAGAACATTCATGTCAAATATCACTTTGACCTACAGTGATTAAGAACTTAAATCTAAAAAGACTATTCAGTAGCTAATTATTATTATCATCCTGATTTACTGATCAAAATCTTTTTGATTGTAGTATAGAAATAGTAATCGGCTAAAAATGTTTCTAAAGTAGGCCATGACCGACAAAGACAGAGATACGAGTCATGACCGTGATAACTACGCATGGTTCTGAATTAAGACCAAGCGTGAATTTCTCCAAGATCTACTTTAGAAACATGTTCTGTGGTTCACTCCATACTGTACCTAATAAATGGTAACCATTATACCCCATTTGATGTAACCTTTCCATAGCTACCTTAATGTTGGAATTACTTAAAATATGATTATCATGTGTGCTTCCTGGATATCTTGAGTTGACGCTCAAAATTCTCAATTTGGAATCACATACCTAAAATTAACATTGTAATGCATTTGAAGACGATTTTTTAAAATAAGTAAATTACCAATTGAACATTAATTGAATGATAACGTTTTCTGTTAATATACATGTGTTCAGGATAAACGGGATCATTTGTTTTTGGTGGAACTATTGCCACATGTGTGCAGTCTATGGCTCCAATAACACCAGGAAACCCATACATATTGAAAAAACTAGAATATAAAAATCAAGTCAAATCTGAAAATTTAAAATACGCTAATTTTAACTTACCCATTACGAAGGTTTACCAAGTTCTCCTCATTTACTGAAAATTTAACCCAATGGTTAAAAATTTCTGGCCTATTTAGGATATTTGCTACTTCCTCTACAGCCCTGCTAACCGAAGATTGGCTAATGGATAAAAAAATATTTGAGCCAACATCTAATTGATAGCTTCCCGAGGCAAAGAATTTTAGTGAGCAAAGAACCTAAAAAATACTTTTAATTTTTAAGTATAAATGTTGACTATATTCAATACAATAAACAAGAATACAAATTAACTTAATACTTAAACCACCAAATTACATTTGGATTGGTATATTTCTGTTTCCAGTTTATTGTTATTAATAGATAAAATTATAGGAA